GAGTTAGGATTACATGAGTTAGGATTACATGAATTAGGATTACATAATTTAGGATTACATGAGTTAGGATTACATGAGTTAGGATTACATGAGTTAGTGCAGTGTGTTTGTGCAGGTGCTCAGTTCAGTTCTGACGTACATGAAGGCCACGGCATATTATTCAAATCATTTCATTTCTTTTACAGACTTCAAAGTGCAAACGTGACACTAAAAGTGAGAAAATGAGCAACAACATTATTTGCAGTGCTATGTGAAAAACAAACCCATCGTGTCTACACACATGGCTGAAAACATGTGCATCACTCAGCTAAATACCAGAATAACTACTTGCCTCACAGCTAAACTATAGTAACCGGGGGTACTGACACTGCATTCATCACAGCCTGTGTGACGCTACACACTGCTTGTTTAAAACATGATGAGAAGCACATTCTGTTGTATCCATGGCCTTGTTTGGTCTTCCAATCCTGCACCAGCCAGGAGCTTCCTATTGTTGCGCCCTCCGTAATGACCACGGTTGGCAGGCATGATGAGATGTGAAAGAAAGTGAGTGAGCTGACAGACGTGAAACAAATGATCTGTAGCTTTGTGTGTGTGTCTGTTACACTTGTGTCTAAAGAGGAGATGTGTGCTGTGAGTGTGTGATGTGGAGAGCTGCGCTGTAACCTAAAAATTGCAGCCTTCATGGTAAAGTGTGATTTATGTGGCTGTCCTGAGATGAAGAAGTGTCCTTTAGGTTTACTGAACAGTAACTGTTTCTCTCTTTGAATGTGTACGTTTGATGTTCTACGTCCTCTCAGTATTTCTAAAGCTACATCCACAGTTTGGCCTAACGACCTCAGAACAAATAAACTCTTGTTCACACACAGATTTTGCAAACAATGGCAGGTGATGTAATAACTGGAGGGACTGGGAAGGGCTGATGGCTGGCTGTTAAGCGGTGGCCTAATTTGAGCTTAGCATCCACACAGGAACCAGAGTCCTCCACAGAGCCACACTGTTCACTTCAATAGCAGTTGGAATAAAATACACTGTAGAGCAGCGGTCTCCAACCTTTTTTTGCGCCACGGACCGGTTTATGCCCGACAATATTTTCACGGACCAGCCTTTAAGGTGTCGCAGATAAATACAACAAAATAAAACTAGTACTGGTACCGAAAAAAAGAAGATTTATTCATAACACACGTGAAAAGACCCAGGAAAACCGAGTAAACGATTAAAACGATAACAAAATAACCCTGAAAACTATACATTTCACACCTGAGCCTCAACTCTCGCGGCCCGGTACCAAACGACTCACGGACCGGTCCGAGGCCCGGGGGTTGGGGACCGCTGCTGTAGCATATCAACTTCATTCAGAAAGAGAAAGTTAACTGCACAGAATCTCCTCTTATCTGCAGATGATGTGGTTCTGTTGGCCTCATCGAGTGGGGGCCTCCAACCCACACTGCAGCAGACCCCACCCTAGTGTGAAGACCATGGTGAGGCCATGGTCCTCAGCTGGAGAAGGGCAAAGTGCCTACTTCAGCTCAGGCACAGATTTATAGCTGCTCTGAGATTATCACGTTATTCCCAATTGAATAAAAAAAATCAGGTTGTAACCAAATATAAAACTATGGTATGATTATCATCGCTTTTGGCCTTGTTTAATATTTATTCTATATTTGTTATAGTCTTTACTCAAAATAGTTGCCATTTAAAATAAACTGTGTAAAAAGAATGTATCTTCTTCCCATGAAGTTTCCTAATTTATTTTATGATTATTATATTAAACAAACTGCTATTGTTTCCATACATACGTAACTCCTAAAGATGACCTTTACTGCATGTCTCCTCTTTCTCTCTCCTCTTTGCTGTCTCTATCCAATAAAGAAAAAATACTAAATATAATATTTACAAAAACAGAGAGAATGACTGTTCTGCTGTGTGAAATCATTAGGACTGTAATATGGCTAAAACACAATTCTCCCTCATACCAACTAAGATCACAGCAGCTCTGTAA